CCCTAGCTCCTCTCTGGCCTTCTCCATGCTAGCATTTCCGAGTCCGGCAACTCTGGATCCATTGACTGGGACCTCGCCCCATGCCGAGACGAGGAGTTAGCCGTCCAGCCCGTCGGTTCGGGGAGGAAACCCGAGCTTCGTCGTCAGAATCGCTTTGGCGGGAATCCATTGCGTCCATGGAGCACAAGTGGGCTTGGGTCCGGCGGCTCAAGGTGCGTGACCGCAGGGGAATCGGAGGCGGCGAGCAGTGGCTGGAGGTACCCGCGCGCCCAACCGGACGGCCCCGGGCTTGCAGCGCAACCCCTTCGGTGGAGCCTCATCCCTACGACGTCGGGCTCCGAGTACGAGGTCAATGCCGCCGGACGTCACGACCATGGGTGCGTCGAGTAGCGGCGTGCCCGCTGTGCGAGGGAGAAGTTGCGCCACGCACCGCGAAGGCTGAGTCGCATGCCATGAAGGACAACAGTGCGGAGGGCACCGCCCTTTGTGCCCGCATCCTGGCAAAGCGACAAGCCTGGACGGCGCGTGCCCTCGCACTGGAGCAAACCTGGGTAGTCCGTGCCCTCGCCGGACTGCCCCCCAAAGAGGAAGAGGCCGGTGACGCATCCGAAGCCCCGACAATGAGCGGATCCGGCTCCCGTATTGCTTCTTCGACCGTTGCTTCCGTGACGAAGATGGCAAGGGCAAGGGTGGTTGTGGGTGAACTTCCCCATAGTCATATTTCATAGCTTTTTTTTAGAAAAGGAGGATGACCCCCGGCCTCTGCATCTGGGCAATGCATACGACCACTTTATTAATTATTCTCACAAGACCTTACAAAATCAATACAACAGTAAGACTAAAGCCGCCGTCTAAGCAACAAACTGTCGCTACACCTATCCAGTTGATGAAGGGGCGCAGATAGCCTGGGCCTAATACCAAACAGACATCGCAGCCAAGCCTAACATCTAAGACCTGAGACCCCAACCTAGCCACTTGCCGGGTCTGGGGCACACACTGGTCCGGCGTGCTCTCAGAGGCCGCCGCCGCCAACTGCCACCGCTCCATCTTCAGAACTGTACCGATGCATCAACCTTGCTCGGTCCAGCTATCGTCGACGCCACCACGGTGCCCAACGGCACCTCCTCCCTGCGCGCAAACAGCTGAACACGTCGCGGTCGCCACTGATACACCTCAGCGCCATGCTGCCAAGTATCACCAGCAGACACAGCTTGAAGTCCTTGGAGGATCTGTCGTGCGTAGCACCTGCCGACCAGGCATGACCAAGCGTAGCACCTGTCGGTCAGGCATGACTTGACATCTCCATCGAAGCTCCGTGCAAGACGAAGCCGCTCCACCTCTTGCCTCTGACATCCAGCGCTGCTCCAAAAACGATGCTCCCAAGAGAGAAACGACACCGCAGTGCCGCCATCGTCCGATCTGGAACACCAGATCCTAGGGTTTCCCCTGGAGCAGCACGAGTGGGTCGACAGTAGTTACACAACGATGCCTTCATCAAGGTAACGGCGTAGAACGCCGCCATCGCCTGCCGTCGGCTTGGTTTTCACCGGCAACCATGTCTCCCCAACTCGCAGCCGGGACTAGATGATGGATCTCGAGATCCGATCACCAAGCTTCTGGCCGGCCACCGCCGACGAAGAAGATGACCACCACCACTGGCTACACCGGCCAGAACAGATCAGTCATGGGTGCCGCCAAGTAGTCCACTAGGCCCTCGACGCCGCCGCCGATCTAAAGCCAGATGACATGCCGCCGAAGACCGCATCGCGCTGCCGCCCGATCCAGGCCAGCCGCCGCAGCAGCCGCCCGTGGCTTGAGGCAGGGCCGACCGCCGCCGCCGTTGAAGCCAACGCCGTCGCTTCTAGATCGGCCGCACCTCCACGCATGTTGGGGTCCCGCCACTCCTGAGACGCGGGAGGGAGGAAGAGCCCCCGCCACCGCCGTCGGCCTCCGGGCGCAAGCCGGCGGCGTCCTCCGGCGGCGGCGGGAGGAGGGGAGGAGGATGGGCTAGGCCCCGGCGGCGGCTAGGGTTAGGGAGCCCGAGTCCAGTCATATTTCATAGCTAGTAGAACATGCCAATTTTTGGTAGTTCGATGGCATGTATGAGAAATCCCCTATGTTATGTGTGTTGGTATAGATGAACTAAATATGCTGTTTTTAATGTTGCATGAGGATTGTATGGAATTGAGGATTTCGGAATTAGGGGCACGGCTGTGGATGCGAACATTTGAGGGGTGACCGGGCATTGTCCGCGGACGTGTCTGGGCTCCTCCGCAGATGTATAGGGGGTCACATTTACGAGTTGCTTTGGTAGATGCTCGTAGGTGGTATCTTTATATTGGAGTTCATCGATCGTCAATCATCAGCTTTATACGACGAAGTTTTTATGATAAGCGTTGTTGTTGAACTCTGATAACCCGAAAAGTTGAAATCTACTATGGAGTTTGGAACGAATCCTAGTTATGAGAAATATGCAATTTATGGGAAAGGTGTTACTAATTTGAGTATTCTTGTTTGATACTTGGAAAATCATCCCGATTCATTTCATCATTACTGATTGACAAATGTATGTATTGTTTCTTATACTGAAATGTATATGTCAATTGATTATGCAGGAAGGTCATCCATACAGTGGGACCCAAATATGCTGTCAAGTATCACACAGCTGCGGAAAATGCACTTAGTCATTGCTACCGGTCATGTTTGGAACTACTCATTGAGAACGGCCTTGAAAGGTACTTGCCGCATATGTGGGCCAAAATGGAAAAATTTCATCGTTAGATGTTGTTATTTTTTCTCACTTAACAAGTGATCTGAGGTGTTTTAAGCTATGCAATCTGAAATTGGCACATCTTGTTACTTATTCATTTCATTTTCTTAGCATCGCAATGGGTTGCATATACACGGAAGCTAAAAACTATCCTCGTGAACCAGCTGCCCATGTGGCAATAAGTGAGTTCTTTCATTCTGTTCTCTCTTTTACTTCTGGTATTTATTACTTATATTTGTTACTCCGTCTGTTCCATTCCATAACACTTGTCGTGGCACAACAAGTATTATGGAACGGAGGGAGTATTATGCAAGAAATATTTTATACTCCGTACTAGAAAGAAGTTTTCAACCGATTTCCACTTTATATATTGTTCCCACTTCTTTTTTCCGCGTGGAGGTGAAGTGATGAGTGGCAGAAAGTGAAAGAACTTATTTGTGAATTGCACAAAGAAATGATTGTACCATAGTCACTCTGCAAATATTTTGTATCTTTTGGTTTATTCTGCACAAACTCACTTTACTCTTCAGGGACTGTTAGATGTTTTCTGGAGAAACAGAAAGGCAAGATAGCTGGTGTTATTTTTTGTATTACATCATCATCTGATACAGAGATATACAAAAGGTACTTGCTGAAGCCCAAAATTTGTTTATTTATTCTTGCATTTGCTAATGGTAAGCATTATGTAGATTGCTTCCGCTATATTTCCCTCGGGACAAGCAAGAGGAAGAGACTGCGGTATCAAAACTTCCAGCTGATGTCGGGGATGAGAATGGTGAAACTGTAATAGATGAAAGGAAAATAAGAATAAGACCATTGCCTGCTGGTGCAGCAGATAGAACAGTGGCTACAGCTGCTGCTCTTGATCTTCCTCTTGAGTCTGGATTGGCATCAAGGTGAATGTTAGAAGTTTAACATCTTCCTAAACTCTTCAATCACTGGTAGATCTGAATGCTAGCTATGTGCTGATGCTGATTCATAACTTAGGGCATTATGCATCATTGTTGGTCTTAGCCAAACAGCTTAAAATTGACCTATTCATCTTTGTGCAGAATGACTTGCCTCTTTTTTTGATTGAAAAACTATCTTTAGTGTAGTCCTTCATATGGATGAGACATTGCTCTTTTTTCCCGTACTGGATTTTTTCCACCTTGAATTAGTCAGTTCTGGATTATTTACCTTCTTACTTTATTATCTGCAGTATCTATTTTATTGGTTATCATAAAGATCACTACAATGTCTATTTTATTGATTACATTGTCCGTATGGAATGCCTATGCGCGCAGGCAATCCCTAAGCGAGCCAGGTGCTAGGCATGGGGCAAGACGCACAATTTATGCAAGCGCCTTTTTTCCCCTTGGATTACATATTATAGCCTATCTTCAAAAGGACATTGTCTAAGCACAGTACTGTTAAATTAATTTTACCTGATTTATTCAGCAGGAGTACATTCAAACTGGATTCGTATTTGGACCCTTCATTTATGTCATTAATTAAAGACCCGGATCTGCGGCGCAAGGAGCAGTGGGAAAAATCTTCTCAAGCTCAAAAGGGATTTAATTATGCTAGGTTGCTTGGATATGGTGATATAGGTTTCCCTCCATTGTCTGCTGCCGAGGAATATTCACTTCATTCACGATACCTTGCGAAAGCAAATTCCCTTAATCTTTCAGAGGTTGCTGAGATGAAAATAATGTACGCAACTGACGTTATAACAAGGGGTTATTTTACTTCTTACAGTGTGCATATGATTACTTTTTCTTCAGACTGTTTTTGTTGCCTGCAGTCTGATGCTCTCTACAATTGCAGTTACCGTGGCGGAGTTGATAGTGAAGGGCGCCCAGTTATGGTTGTTGTTGGTGCGCACTTTCTTCTTCGCTGCCTGGATCTTGAACGGTTTGTTCTACATGTAGTGAAGGTAATCATACAATTGAAATAAATGCTGCCTAACAGAACCTCTGCAGCCACAGTTCATGTATTGTGTCATGTACGAATGCCAAATTATCTTCTTGCATATGTCAAGTCCTGGACTGCTGTTGTTTGCAGATACTTGACTGATATTGTTTGTGGAGATAGGGCTAGGAAGTTAGATCGGCTTAGCCAACGTATAGGGTTTGCTGTGCTCTCTGTATTTCTTAAATGTAATATATAGTTTCTAGTGTATTTTATGCTTTTCATATCTTGTTATACATTTGCATTGGCAGCAAGCACACAAGAATGATGCTCCAAAATATCTGGTTTAAAATTTCAAACTTACATGAAGGCAATCAATCCAAGTAATTCTGTTATTTTAAAGTCTTGGTAATTTGGTATAACGAATTTATGAAAGTGTGAGATGATTCTGCAAAAATATATCTGAAAACAAGAAAATATACAGAAAAGGCACCAAGAATGTTTGGATGGATTTACAGGAAGTACTTGTTTAATATTACCTCTGTACCAAATAGCCTACCAAAACGTCTTATATTTTGCTACGGAGGTACTATTATATTGCAGAAGTTATGTATATGCCTCCTAAGATTTTATGTTGCTTTCTACTAGTACATAATTCATGATTTTTATTTTAGTACCTCCGTTCCAAAATAGACGACTCAACTTTATACTACCTTTAGTTGAGTCATCTATTTTAAAGGTAGTATAAAGTTGAGTCGTCTATTTTGGAACGGAGGGAGTATTATATTGCAGAAGTTATGTATATGCCTCCTAAGATTTTATGTTGCTTTCTACTAGTACATAATTCATGATTTTTATTTTATTATTATGCCTTTTATTCTGTCAACCATAGAAAAGAGAACCAAAATAAGGCATTAAAGGTGAATTAGCTTCAATTAAAAGTAACATCCTTTCTCTTTGCAGGAGTTTGAACCTTTGATTCAGAAGCCATATACTATTGTCTATCTCCACTCGGCAGCATCATTACAACCGTAAGTGTTTGATACAAAGAAATGTCTACTTGATCCTCTGAGGTTTGGAGCCGGGACAACCTGACCTATTCCAAAGGTTAATGGGCTGTTTATTTATCTGGTTTATAACCTCATGGTGTTATGTTATCACAGCTACAAACTAGTGGGGGTCAAGTAGACCATTTCTGCTGTTAAACATTCGCCGTAGACTGCTTAAAATTCGATATTCGTTGTTACTCTTAACCCATCTGTGCTGTGATGTAAGGAGTTTTCTTAATCCATTTCCAGGCAACCAGATTTAGGATTCATGAAAAGGATACAACAAATACTAGGCCGGAAACATCAGCGAAACCTTCATGTCGGTATCTTCGTTGTGCTCACTATGTAACATATTTATCTCTTAATAAGTTAGGTCTTCTGACAATTTTCACTCTATTAGGGGATTTATATACTCCATCCAACATTGGGGTTGAGAACAGCTATTCTGGGGATGCAGCTTTTGATTGATGGAGAGGTACCTCCCAGTTCACACCATACTGATATTCCTTTTTAATCTTATAAGGTGTTGCTTAAGGTTTGTCATCCTCTTTTTTTATTAGGTATGGAAGAAAGTTGTGTATGTTGACAGGCTGGTGCAATTGTTCAGATATGTACCACGCGAACAATTAACTATCCCAGATTTTGTATTTCAGTAAGTAGCCTTACCCAAATCCTTCCAGCTTTTAGGACGTTTGCAGAGAACTAGAAGAGATTGTGTACTTATGAGCTTAATCCTACAGGCATGATTTGGAGGTGAATGGTGGTAGAGGCATGATTGTGGACCCAAGAACAAAACATATCTATCAGAGACCATCTGGCTGATTCATGTCATTTATGCAGTCCAATGCTCATACTTCTTGCTTTTGCAAGTCTTTGTATAATTACTCCTTTGTTGATATTTCTCTTTTTCCTTTGTATCTAATTTAGGTGTTCTATTCCTTTCATTCGTTCCTCAGCCTTCAGGGAAGGGGATTATTGTTTGTAGTATATGTCAATTTCTACAGCCGAATAAAAAGTGGCGTCTCAGTGCTCGTCAGTTTAAGTTCCACCAGACAGGGCATTCGTCTAGCATAAAATATGGTACTCTCTCCTATCTATATCTATATTTTCTATACCAATATAAAAAGACCCAAAGAAGCAGATCCAGTTAATCTTGGCCATCAAATCATGTCAATCCAACGACCTAGACTGCTTCAATGTCGAGCGCTCAACACGTTTAGCGTGCAGTTAATTTCATGCCAAATATAGTGCTAATCACATAATAACATGCAAATAATATTTTATTTAATATCCGCATACACTTAATATACTTTCAAATTAACCGTACATGTTGACTAGACCAACATAAGGCCAACTCCATCGCACGACTGCAAATGGACGTCTGTTTGGGATGGCAATGGGGCCGCGTTCGCCCGAATTTATGGATGCGTCAGCCTTGCGCTCAACACATGACCGCATTTGTGCCGCATCTCGTCCGATCAAGATCAACAAGCATAGTTCAAATCAAATATAGCAAATAGTTTCACACCCGAAATAGTCTTACAATCCAATAAAAAAGACAATATCAAATAGTCTTACAACCTAATCGAAATTTGTTTGCATGAAAGGAAATTAAACCCATAGATCTATTGGTTACTAATGTGAGCTGGACATGAGTATGCCAATCACGCATGTCACGATGAAAATGGACAAAATGTTCAAAGGTTGCAGGAGGTGGTTGCTCAGTCTCGACATTTTCACCCTGGAAATCAAACTCTTGGTCGTAGATGCTATCACCACGCTCATCCTCCACGATCATGTTGTGCATGATCACACAAGCAGTCATAACTTTTAAAGCTTCTGAGTGCTTCATGTCAATGCAGGGTTTCGAACGATACTCCATCGAGACTAAAGCACACTCCACATCCTTCCTAGAACTCTCCTGCATTTGGAAAAACATCTGTCTCTTCTCTCCTTGCGGATTGGGTATGGTAATATCCCTTGTTGTAATGGTGGTCAGTGACCTTATGCAAGCCTTGCAAACACTGGAGAATGCTGAAGAACATTGGTATCATTGTGAGAACCAACCATGCCAAAGAAAGAATGCCATATTCACAGATCTTGTGAAACCACCGCTTCAAGTATGACAGTGGCACCTTTCAATGACCCTTGTACTGCCCCTGCCAAGCAAATGGACAGTTCTTTCACTTTCAGTGCATACAATGTATACTATTAAGCATGCCCGGAAAGCCCCTATATGCATTGATCGCCAACAACCTCTCTGTATCAGCGACAGTTGGCTCTCTCAGGTACTTAGGCCCGAACACTGCCTTGTAGAAACTATACATTGAGAGAAGACATGTGGACTCACTCATACACACATACTCATCCACAAGATCACCAGGAATTTCATATGCAAGCATGCGAATAGCGTGCAATGCATTTCTAATAAGAAGAGAAGCCAAGCTTTGGCAACCTCTTTGCACTCAAAGTATGGGTCATATGCCGAACCGAAAACTAAGAACCAAACCGAAAAAACAAAACCAAACCAAAAATTCGGTTTTTTCAGGTTGCGGTTTCAGTTTCAGTTTTCAATTCTACAAACCATTTAACATTCGGTTTTTATGGTTTTAAATCGAAAACCGTTCGGTTAAACCGAAAGAACCAAAGTTTGCTTTTAAGTGCAATAATAGGGCTCAAAGTATCCAGCCCATAGGGCCGCTTTGTCGAGTGATCCACGTCCAAGAAGCCGATCGGTTTTGTCGGTACTCGGGAGGATCGGCCTGGGTCGTACACTCGTAGCCTCGTGGCCGTTGGAGATACATAGGCTTTTCTCTCTTTCCTTTTTTTCTTCATCCCTCATCTAATCAATCATATCTGCTGCCGTTTAATCTAAAAAATGTTAAGAAGAAATCATGTGGACCTCTGAAACCTGCCTAACCTCTCATATCTTTTGCCATCTAATTCCTATGACTAAATCATGTCTGTCATGTAGTAATAACCCAATGTACGTACACAATTTTCACAAGAAAATCTAACCTACTGCACCCAAACATGTGACCAAAAAATTATTTGTTGTTTACAAGTTCGCGTCAACTTTGGTTATTTTGGTTATTACCGAAACCGAACCGAAATTAAATGGTTATTACCGAAACCGAACCGTATCTATGTATAAAACCGTATAAACCGAAGTATAAAAACCGTATAAACCAAAAACCGTATAAACCGAACCGAAACAAACCGAATAAACCGAATGCACGCCCTGAAAGGAAGCGAAGCAAGGTTGGTGTTGGTGGGTGGGTGATGACCCACAAATATAGGGGATCTATCATAGTCCTTTCTATAAGTAAGAGTGTTGAACCCAACGAGGAGCGGAAGGAAATGACAAGCAGTTTTCAGCAAGGTATTCTCTGCAAGCACTGAAATTATCGGTAACAAATAGTTTTGTGATAAGATAATTCGTAATGGGTAACAAGTGACAAGAGTAACTGAGGTGTAGCAAGGTGGCCCAATCCTTTTTATAGCAAAGGACAAGGCTGGACGAACTCTTATATAATGCAAAGCGCTTCCGGGGACACATGGGAATTACTGTCAAACTAGTTTTCATCATGCTCATATGATTCCCCTTCGTTACTTTGATAATTTGATATGTAGGTGGACCGGTGTTTGTGTGCTGCCCTTCTTTGGACAAGCCTCCCACTTATGATTAACCCCTCTCGCAAGCATCCACAACTACGAAAGAGGAATTGAGATAAATCTAACCATAGCATGAAACATATGGATCCAAATCAGCCCCTTACGAAGCAACACGTAAACTAGGGTTTAACCTTCTATCACTCTAGTAACCCATCATCTACTTATTACTTCCCAATGCCTTTCCCTAGGCCCAAATCATGGTGAAATGTCATGTAGTCGACGTTCACATAACACCACTAGAGAAAATACAACATACATCTCATCAAAATATCGAACGAATACCAAATTCACATGATTAATTATAACAAGACTTCTCTCATGTCCTCAGGAACAAACGTAACTACTCACAAAGCATATTCATGTTCATAATCAGAGGAGTGTATTAATTATCATTAAGGATCTGAAGATATGATCTTCCACCGAATAAACCAACTAGCATCAACTACAAGGAGTAATCAACACTACTAGCAACCCACATGTACCTATGAGGTTTTGAGACTAATATCGGATACAAGAGATAAACTAGTATTTGAGAGGAGATGGTGCTGGTGAAGATGTTGATGGAGATTGACCCCCTCTCGATGAGAGGATCGTTGATGATGACGATGGCTTCGATTTCCTCCTCCCGAATGGAAGTTTCCCCGACTATACAGCTCCGCCGAAGCCCTAGATTGTTTCTGCCCAAGTTCCGCCTCGAGACGGCGGCTCTTCGTCCGAAAGCTTCCTTATGATTTTTTTCCAAGTAAAAACCCTTCATATAGCAAAAGATGGGCACCGGGGGCCTGACAGGTGAACGACAAGGCAGGGGGCGCGCCCAGGGGGGTAGGGCGCGCCCCCACCCTTATGGTTGCCTGGTGGGTCCCCTCTAGTGCTTTCTTTGCCCAATATTTTTTATTAATTTCAAAATGATTCTCTGTATAGTTTCAGGACTTTTGGAGTTGTGCAGAATATGTCTCTAATATTTGCTCATTTTCCTGCCCAGAATTCCAGCTGCCGGCATTCTCCCTCTTCATGTAAACCTTGTAAAATAAGAGAGAAAAGGCATAAGTATTGTGCTATAATGTGTAACAACTCATAATGCAATAAATATCAATATAAAAGCATGATGCAAAATGGACGAATCAGCGGGCGCCCTGCAGAAATGCAGCGCCTGCCAGAAGTTGTTGGGGTTGACGGTCGTAGCTTCTCTCCCGCCGGTGGAACTGCGAACGCCAGCAATAAGCTCATTCGAAACGCGAGCATGGGCCGATTATGGCATGGTGTGGTTGTGGGGCGGACAACCTTGATGGAGATGCAGGCTGGATATCAGTCATTTGGTGGAGTAATAGTAGTAGATACACGCAGGAGTCGGTGTACTTGTCTTAGACGTGATGCACACATGATCATTGCCTTGAATATCGTCATAACTATGCAGGTGTTGTTCACGGGGTCCTGTGTGGTTCTCCTACTGGATTGATAACCTTGGTTCTTAACTGAAAAAAAATACTTATCTCTATTGTACTGTATCATCCTCTCCTATTCAGGAAAATCCCAACACAGCTCACAAGTAGCAACCACCCGGCCTATCTGGGCTGGCCCGTTTAGGTCTTTTTCTCTTAAAACCACATAAATACGCTTGCGCAGGTGAATTCGCCATGACTCAACCTGTGAGCTCGCAGTTAATGATAAAAGGGCATGACCACCTCGGTAACCTCGCCCGTTGTGGTTACTTCTCCTTTTCCTGAATTTTCTTCTATCTCTTTTTTTTTCTTTTTCTTGTTTCCTTTTGTTTTATTTTTCTTAATTTCATGAACTTTTTCAAAATCTGTGACTTTATTCCAAATTGATGATTTTTTGGAAATTGATGAGCTTTTATTTGAATTTGTGAACTCTTTTTAAAAATGGATGAACTCTTATTTTTTAATTTGTGAACTTTTTTTCAAAATTGACAAACTTTTGTCCAAGTCGATGATTTTTTTTGAAATTGATGAACTTTATTCGAATTTGTGGAATCTTTTTTGAAAATTGATGAATTTTTTTAAAAAATCGTAGAGAACTTCTTGAAAATTCATGCGCTTTTTCAAAGAAAAATGGATGAACTCTTTTCCGAATTTCTGAACTTTTTTGAAAATCGATGAACTTTTCTTCAAACCGATGAACTTTTTTTG